CACACGCATGCAGACCTGTCAATGTGTACACACGCATGCAGACCTGTCAATGTGTACACACAAATGCAGACAGCATCAGTCGCTGCTTCGCCCGAGTTTAAAACATAGCTATCATGTACACGCCCACTCTACTAATCGTCTGTTAATCTGAGATTTAATATTTTTTTTAATAACTTAATTTTTAATTAATTTTTAATTATATAAGAAACAGAGTTAGCAGCGATTTACAAGTTTTATGTCGTGCATGCCGCATTGTTATTCAAATATTCGAGCTCTATAATGTCTTTGTAGTGGTAGATAGAATTGGACACTAGTAGATGAGTTCGAAATGTCACTAGCTGCTGCTTTGGCGTGATCTCTTTTGAAGTTGACGGCGACATAGTCGATCACGAGTGGCACAGCGTAACGAACCAATATTATACCTATCAGGTGCGGGTTACACGCGCGCACACGCATGCTATCACACAGAAAACGCCGCGCAAATCCACACCGTGCACACACTGAAAGACGCTCGGAGGCGCGCACGACCACACGCGTGCACACGCGGGCAGCATCACACGAGCACACACACAGTCACACACCGCACACACCAGCCACACACACGCACCACACACACACACACACAGCACACACACACACACACACACACACACCACACACACGCACCGTGCCTAAATCATATCGATATAAAAATCGAATAATTATTCATTTAACAGATACTAGGTATACACGTACACAAATTCACACTTATCAAATCAATATGAACTTTAGGGAATTTTGTTAACGTTTATTATTATCATGTAAGCGCATGGTGCTCGACATTTTCATATCTCAAATTCGGCGATCGTAATATAAGCCTATTTGTATTATAATATCAATGAAAAAAAGGTACATAACAGAGATATTATTGAGAGCAGTGTAGAATATTGATTCTGCTAATTATGTAGCTCTTGATATAAGCATCTAGTAATTCCATAACAATAATGAAAATTTCTGTGAAGCATCATACACAATTTTTTTGTGGCAGCGTGACAGCAGTTGGGCCCGAACAATGACAATGTAAAACAATTTCACTCATACCGTTGCGGAGAATCGGGATCTTGAACCTATGACATATAAAGGCAGAGGCAATGCATGGACACAATTTCCACTAACTCCACCATGAGTATGTGATCGCTGCAAAACATAGTAACGTCAACAAAAGAAACGATATATTTCGTATGACATTATGATACAGTAAAAACCCGCGTATATAAGAAACATAAGGATTTTCCCAGAGTTAGCCTCAACGATGTTCTTGATATAAATGGTCTTGACTGAAAAATTTGGCCTCACAAAGGTTCTTAAATAGGTTCTTAAATTGTTATTCTACTTTTAATATGACTAGCTTGAACCCGCGCTACGCCGCAGGGCTTAGTGACTGTGATGCATGTGTTTTACCAGTAACAGTAAGTGTATGTGTAAGGTGTTATATGGAGAGTTTAGTTGTTGGCACCATGTTTGTTTTTTTATGGTTGAGAATCGTGTCAATAGCAAATACATGTACAATCATGCTTACGAACGTACCAACATTCAACTGCATTTGTTTGGCAAGTACACAGTAAATACACCAGAACAGCACGCACACACACACATCATCACACAAACGTTTTATTGTATGCTATGTAGGAACTACATGGGTTGATGATACGGAACTCGCGGCCAAAGTTTAGTTTTAACGACCCCTTCAGCCTTAAATAAAAAAATGTGATGACAGAAGGTAAGAGTCATTTAGTTTATACATCAATTAGCAACGTAGAAAAACAGTTGCTAAATGTACCCTAATTTTTTTAAAAGAACAATTTTTATTTTTCAGGCTGAATTGTTCTATGTATATCAATTTTTGAACCGCATTTGCAGCCTGAGTGTTCTTCATACGAACGTGTTTTACTGTAATATGTAAATAATGGAGTAGCTGTGTCTCAATAACAATGCCAGGGTGCTGGCATTGTTATTGTTGAGGCATTGGCTTGGCATTGCGATTGGTATTGGCATTGGCATTGGCATGTTATTGCATCGATATTGTTTGAGGCTCCGTCTCTCCTTATTTTACTATGTTTCTTTTTAAGTCTTCATCTGGCATGGAAAATTAAGAACGGCTACTTCTAAAATCTTACGCCTAAACAGGTTCTATGTAAAAGGAGATCTAAATGGGAAATTTTAGTCTGAACAGTTCTTTAAAATCATGTTCCTTATACGCGGGTTTTTACTGTATCGCTAGCATTTCAATGTGCTACCCAGCGCGGTCTGACGCAAAGCGTGTTATTGTGTCTCTCCTATACGACTACCACGTTAATTTCAACAAACATATTTGCTTTGTCAAGGGCATCCGGCCGCGGACACAGAGAAGCGTATGGGGAATGGTAAAGAAACACGCAAGAAACGGCGCCGCTCCTTATTTGTAATTATGAACAAGATTCCTTCGCATCTGCTCTATCCCACTCCCTCTTCAAACAATATACTTTTTCTCTGTCCTCTCCTCTACTCATCATTCGCTTGTTTCTGCGTCCTTTGTCGGTTCTCCACACTCCGCCTCACTTCTTCCTTTGCAAGCTACTCGTGAGTAAATTGGCGTTTCCTCGTAAACGGGTTGGGTCAATTAACCGTGTTATGCAAAGCAATGTATTGCGGAATCATGTCACCGCTATGTTAAGAATAGCATCCGTGCGCTGCCCAACTGCACTTATCCCTGACGTCTAGTTTGTCCACGCTCTGATGACTACCACCGGACAGTGCTAGTGAGAATAAATATCAAGTTTATTTGGGAATGGCGTAGTGGGATGCAGACACCGGAAATGTGTGCGTAGTGTTGAATCAGTTTGAAACACACTGAGAACATATTACCGTGGACTGCTCCGCTCGAGAGAAATACCAGCACATGATAAAAGACATAATAAGGTATGCTGAAATGTTTCGATTAATAATTATCAACGTCTGTTGACGCGTAGCCAAATCGTCACGTATTAAATGGTTGTTCACAAATGACAGGAGCTAGTTATAACGTCAATATGCAATTTTAAGTTGTGCGTGTGTGTATATGTAGTGTGTGTGTGTGTGTGTGTGTGTGTGTGTGTGTGTGTGTGTGTGTGTGTGTGTGTGTGTGTGTGATGTGTTCCATTTCGTGTCCTTCATCCGAGTGCATTGCTGAAATAATGTCAAAGTGGTACTTTCTTTCGACAGAGAGTCTGTCAACCCGTTCAAGGTGAGATGTCCCGTGGACAACGTTGAATTTAAACCGAACAAGGAGGTGATTATACAGTTTTGTAGAATAAGTTATATTATTATGTTACATATATATTGCTAAAAGATTGCGATTTTCATCTTAATCGCATAATCTCCATTGCATCGCAAACGGTATGTAAAGTTATCCAGTGTTTAAGCTCTCTTTAATTGATCTAGCAACAGATTGTAGTTGTTGTTGTTGTTGTTGTTGTTGTTGTTGTTGTTGGTGGTGGTGGTGGTGGCGTTGGCGGTGGCGGCGGCTGTGGTGAAGTAATGGAAGCCGGAAATATTTAAAAAATAAATGTATCTGCTGTATATAAGCATTTAAAATTTATTTGAAACGCGTGTAACAGTGAAAGGTTTCCCATCACATAAAGAATCTTAGGACAGCCTATTGTAGACAACGTCTCGGGGAGTGATTAGGCTATGGGGAGCCGCAATTCCACGTTTAAGACAAAGAACGATTCGATTGCTCCGTTCTCGCGCGCATGTGCGTATCATAACAATTAATATATTTGATTAGGAGTATATTGTTGTAACATATTAGTCAACCCCTTTAGCTATCACTCGGAAAACATTTGCATTACTTGACAATACGCGCTCGTCATATTCTGTAATATTCATTCTCTTAGATTTCTGTAAAGACGTTCTAACCATTTTTTCATCGCATACTTGCGAGGAAAGTCAGCCCTATAACTTTCTAACTTATAACTTGTCAGTGACACATGATACCAGTTGTTTACGCCTGATGTATTTCTCATAGGAAACACATTAATACAAACATACGAATCGATAGCAAGATTAATTATGATTCTCTAGGTCTTAAATAGGGATTTCCACAATAACCAATATTCGGCATACTACTCCTAATATCTACTATATATGATTGATTTCTCTCTATGCGCCAACCTAACTACAACGATCTCACGTTTAAAATACGTATCTAGATTTTATATTCACAATAAATTTAGATGAACATCACAATACCGACAAATAAGAAGAAGCGTCCTGCTAAACGTTGAACAAATCCTGCGCAGCACATCGTATATACCCAATAACAGCAATACATTACATTATAGACATAGCTTAATTGCTACGCCAACCGCCAAATAACAACAGTGAATAGATTAAAGTTCATATAGCTTACGCCGCACGTGCTTTCGATGACGCCTTGCGTTTCTCTTGTTCTTCTTCACAATGAACTCCAGTAGAAGACAGTGAGACAGAATTGAGTTTTGTTAGACAAAATTGAGCCCTGTCCTGCATGGCGCCCCGTATCTGGAACCTTGTGACTATAAAGGCATGGCAATGGCATGGACACATTTCACACTAACTCCCCCATGAGTATGTGATCGCTACAAAACATATAACGTCAACAAAAGAAACGATATATTTCGTATGACATTATATATGCTATATTTCATGTGCTACACAGGCGTCAGTCGACAGCAAAGCGTGGTTATTTGTTCTCCATACCTACCACGTGTAATCTCAACAAACATATTTGCTTTGTAAGGGATCTGTCGCGCACGAACACAGAGCGTATGGGGTACAGAGAGAAAACGGTACGCGCTCCTTATTTGTAATTATGAACAAGATTCCTTCCATCTGCTCTATCTCACTACCTCTTCAACACATATGACTTCTTCTCTTCCTCTCCCTCTACTCATTCTTTCGCGTTGTTTCTGCGTCCTCTGTCGCTTCTCCACATCTCCACCTCTCACCTCTTCCTTTGCAAGCTACTCGTGAGTAAATTGCGTTTCCTCGTTAACGGGTTTGGTCAATTAACCGTGTATGTATAGCAATGTATTGCGGAATCATGTCACCGCTATGTTAAGAATAGCATCCGTGCGCTGCCCAAACTGCACTTATCCCCTGACGTCTAGTTGTCCACGCTCTGATGACTACCACCGGATAGTGCTAGTGAAAATAAATATCAAGTTTATTTGGGATGCGGTAGGTGAGATGCAGACACCGGAAATGTGTGCGTAGTGTTGAAATAGTTTGAACACACTGAGACATACACCGTGGACTGCTCCGCTCGAGAGAAATACTCAGCACATGATAAAGACATAATAAGGTATTTGAAACGTTTCGATTATATCAGGAGTAGATAATAGGATCCCTATTATCTACTCCTGATTATATTTATCACGTCGTTGATCGTAGCCAAATCGTCACTTATTAAATGGTTGTTCACAAATGACAGAAGCTAGTTATACAACAATATCATTTTAAGTTTGCCTCTGTATTTATTAGGTTCATTACTTTATAATTAATTTTATGTATTTTTAATGTATAAGAATGTCCACGTAGATATGTCAGCGTTCAGAGATGATATCATGTTTGAGGCAACGCTGGACCATAAGTTTGTCTGCCCAGTATGCCTGACATTACTATGGGAGCCAGTACAGACTATATGTGGTCATAGGTACTGCAAGGCATGCCTCCAGCGCGTTATTAGGTTGGTGCACTCGTTATTCGTTTATTATTATCTCGTTATTCGTTCACGATTTATTTCGTTCAGATAAACCTTATAATAATTAAAGCTGAAACAAAACTGCTATAAGGTAATCGGCTTCAGCACTGCTCACATCGTATCAAATGTATTTCTACAGTCAATTAAACTGACAGCGGATAACAAGTGTGTATGTGTGTGTGTGTGTGTGTGTGTGTGTGTGTGTGTGTGTGTGTGTGTGTGAGTTGTTGTGTGTGTATGTGTGTGTGAGTGTGAGTGTGTGTATTGTGTGTGTGTGTGTGTGTGGTGTGGTGTGTGTGTGTGTGTGTGTTGTGTGTGTGTGGTGTGCGTGTGTGTGTGTGGTGTGGTGGTGTGTGTGTGTGTGTGGATTGTTCATTCGTGTCTTTTCATCCGAGTGCAATTGCTGAGAATATGTCAAAGTGGTACTTTCTTTCGACAGGAGTCTGTCAACAAACACCGTTCAAGGTGAGATGTCCGTGTGAAATCGTTGAATTTAAGACCGAACAAGGGAAGCGTGATTATACTATTGTAGAATAAGTTATATATTAATGTTCGCATTATATATTGCTAAAACGATTGCGATTTTCAATTTATCGCTAATCTCAATTGTATCGGGAGCGCCTT